GGGAGGGTTGAGACAGGGTCTTACTATGTAGTTGAGATTGACCTGGAACTCACTATGTAGTCCAGGATGGTCTTGAACTCCCAGCGATCCTCCTGCCTCAGCCTCCTGAGTGCTGCGATTACAGGCATGCGCCACCATACCCAGCTAATACTGAGCAAATTTGTCTCTATTTTATCTTAAAAAGGTTATGAATTGATAATCAATTTTTTAAACAAAACTTACAAAGCTGAGCATCAGCATGAAGAGTTCCTCCTTTAGGATTGAGCTTCTGAGTTTGGATTGCAGGAACTGGTTTATATGATTGACCTGTGGCCCTGTACATGGCTTGAACCCATAATATCCGGTCCTGTTCATCATCAGTGGCAAATATTACAGTATCTCCTTCTTTAACAGCATTAAAAAACATCTCGCCACCCTGAAGGCCTGTGGAGGAAGAAAGATATCATTAAATAATCAGCAGATACATTCACTAAAAGTAGATTTAAGATTCCATGTCATCTCAAATTATAAAATATCTTTGGGAAACAGTCTATAGGAAACAGTACAGAAGCACTGTGTAAAACATACAAACATATCCCACAGAAATACACGGTATAATATGATATTTCATGCCAGCAAAATAAGAGCTTTGCTGAGAATATTCACCATTTTATATGTGGGGGAAATATATATGATGAATTTAATAAGAAAAACATAAAGCTAAGGCAAGAACGATATACATATCGTATTGTGTTCAATTTTCACAAAACTATCACAAGAGAAGATATTTTGTATTTCTAAATGATCAATTATTGAGTATGGTTAGAGATTTCTATTTTTAATCTGTATTTGCATTAATTTTTCAATCCTTGTTTATTAATATTAATCTATCTCTTAAATTGTTATATTAATGACAATAATATCAATATAATAATTTGTTCATTAGTTTTAAATACCAGGGGGCTAGTATTATGCACACTATAGGCTGGTGACCACTTATCTGAAATGCTTGGGATTAAAGTATTTTGGAATTTGGGTTCTTTTGGAGTTTGGAATGCTCACATATACATGAGTTATTTTAGGAATGGGACCCAAGTCTAAATACAAATTGCATTTATGTTTCTTATAGGTATAATTTAAAGGTAATTTTATGTAATCTTTTTATTGCCTTTGTACTTTGATGCCCTGTGTCACAGGATGAAAGTTGTAGAGTTTTTCACTTCTGGAATTATTTTGTCACTCAAAGACATTCCAGATTTGGACAATCAAGATATTTGAGCTAGGGATGCTCAACATATGCTAAAAAAAAAAGCAGAAAAAAAATGAGAATGTGTCCTTTGAAAGAAAATTAGTGGAATGTAACATATACATTTGTCATTTCATTCCCTGTTTTCATTGTAATTTTTTATTTCTGGTAAAAAATTTTCTATACACAGTGCTGATGCTTTTCACACACTCTATCAAAGTCATCTTTATATAGTTCATAATTTTACTAAACTAGGAGAGATGAAGAATTATGGTTGAAAATACCATCTCAAAAGATATAATTTTAATCTCAAAGTTTTCTCCAGGCATCTTACTCACCAACTGGGGATGGAAATGCAGAACAGATGCAGAATATTTATAAGGATTTCATGTATTCAGATATGGCAGGAAAAGTAGTTTACTAGAATTACCTGGGTGGGGATCTGTATAATCCACAGTGTATCCTTCAAGCTGCATTAATTCTTGTGGTTCAGACTTTTTTTCTCTATAACTGCACATAGCAAAAGTGTACTGACTAACCTGCTCAAGAAAAGAAAAAGTTTACAGATTGGTCACATTAAACTGACCAAATTCAGTATTTAGCTATCTATTTCTTTATCAAGTCCTTCCCCCTACAAAATAGCATATGTTTTCATATAAATTATTACTTTCAGCATTCTTAAAAACCTAGCTTGGAGATTAAAGTACATTTCATTTGTCAGTTTGCAGCCAGTCTTCCATATGCTTAGGATTCAGCATTACCCAGGTTAATAATGCCCTGGACAAACTTCTATGAGGTTATTTTAAATTATTTTTCAGTATTCTTTGAGTATTTTGTAATAAAACTACTTTTAAATGAGAAAAAAAACCAACAAAGGTATTTCCATGCTGAAAAACAGAAACAATATTAAGCATACCAAAACGTCATATAGTCATACATGGGGCTTTTCAGATATAGCTGGATCTAGGGTGTCTGATGCTAGATTAAGTGTATGACGCTGGGATTAAGGGTGTGTGATTACTAAATTAGCCCAATGATTATTTGGCATAATTCTGGGTGTGGGTAATTGGAAGGTCTATCCTGAGTGTGGGTGTCATCACCCAAATGACAGTAGCCTGGATGGATATAAAGGCACAGAAAGAAGACTGTTTGACTGCTGCTCTTCAGTACTTTGCTGTTTTACTGCCTTCTGCCCACCATGAACTGTTTCTCCTCTGTGAGGGCCCTCTACCATGCCACCCTACCTGGAAGGCAGCAAACTATGAATTTACACCTCCAAAAATTGTGAGCTAAATAAACCATTGGTCTCATATACAGAAACCCTAAAGACCTTATCAAAAACAGTTTAAGCTAATAAATGAAATCAGTAACCTATAGGATACAAAATCAACACACAAAACCTGCAATTTCTACACAACAATACTGACTTAGTAGATAAAAAAGAAATAACTACCTACTCACCTGCCCATCCATCTACCCACCCACTCACCCAATGAGAAATTTAACTGGAAAGGTGAAAGATCTCAACATAAAACCTAAACAATATTGATGACAGACACTGAAGACATAAAGAGAAAGACAATGTATTTTCACGGACTGAATTAGTATTCTTATTCATATTATGAGTTACCAACAAATTCAGTTAAAATACCATTCTTCAAAGATAAAACATCATAAAAACTATATGGATTTATAAAAGACCCAGAATAACCAACTGAATCTTGAACATAAAGAACAAATTTGGAGAAACCACACTATCTGACTTCAAAATATTCTACAAAGTTATAGTAACCAAAACAGCATGTCATATGCATAAAAGCAGATGCACTGGTCAATGAAAGAGAACATGTGTATGCAACCAACTTATTTTTGACAAAGGTGTCAGTAACACACACTGTGGAAATATTTTTCTATGAATGGTTCTGGGAAACTGAATATCCACAAGCAGGAGAATGATATTAGGTCCTATGTCTCACCATATACCAGGATTACTTCAAAACAACTCAAAATGGATCCTTAAAAAAATATGACTCAATACTATGAAATTTTTACAGTATAACAAAATACAGAGGAAATGAATCAGGACATTGGAATGGACAAGCATAGGCAATTGAAGTGAAAATAGACAAGATCATATGTGTTACAAATGAATTAAGCAACAGAGTGAAGAGACAATGTACAGAGAGAATATATTTACAAATTATATAGATAGTAAGATGTTAGTATCTAAATTATATCAGAAGGTCAAACAACTCAATAGCAAAATTCCCCACATAATCTAAATTAAAATGGGTAAAGGTATGACTGTTCCTCAAGAGATGTAGAAATGACTAACAGGTAAATGAAAAAAAAAAAGTCCACATCACTAGTCATCAGGGAAATGAAATTCAAAATCACATAAGATACCATCTGACCCCAATGGAATGGCTATTCAAAAAAAGAGTGTTGCAGAGGATATGGAGAAAATGGAACACCTATACATTTATGGAATGTAAATTAGTATAACCATGATAGAAAAACATATGGAGGCTCCTAAAATATTAAAATTAAGCTGGCACATTATGCAGCAATACCACTAGTGAGAACATAGCTAGTGAAATGAAATTAGTGTATCAAAATATACTTGCACTACCATGTTTATTGCAAAATTCACAATAGCCAAGATATGGAAACAAAATGAGTTCATTAGTGGATGAATAAATAAAATGTAATATCTATATGCAGTGAAATAATATTCAGCTATAAAAAAACACAACTGAATCCCATCACTTGTGGCAATACAAATGAACTTGAAGGGCATTGAGATAAGACAGACACAGTAAGACAAATACTGTATGATCTCACTGACGTATGGAAGCTAAAAACAGTTGATGTTATAGAAGTTGAGAGTGTAATAGTGATGACCAGAGCTGGAGAGGGAGGAGGGTAGGTGTGCAGAGAGGCTGGTCAGCTGTATTATAATGCTACAATTAGACAGGAGAAGTAAGTTGTAGTACTCTACTTCATTCTATGTCCTAGGGAAAAACAATAAAGTATATTTCAAAATAGTTTTAAAATAGAAGAAGGTTTTGAATGTTCTCACCACAAAGAATTAAGCGATAAGCTCCTCAGATTCAATCAGCACACAATGTATATATGTATTAAAATATCACAACGCAATTCTACAAATATGTACAATTATGATCAAACAAAATACCTTCTGCAATTATTTTTCAAATATATAGTCAAAGATTTTATATTTTCCTAATATCTCTTTGGATGTATTCGTTTTTGCAATATCCCATAAGATAGTTTATCTATTAATTCTTCATGAAATTCTTTCAAATGTTGCTTTGTACAGAAGAAATTTAGCTCTACATCTATCATTCACTCCCAGGTCTCATCATATTAGTTTTCCCTTAATATTCAGTATCTTAACATTTAATAATATGTAGCATTCATTATCAACATATGTAAACATAGTCTTTATTGTGTTTATTTTTTTTGCCTACCACTAGTTCTTGAATCAGTCCACCATAATCATTTTTTCTGTTTGCAAAACATACTTCTAATTTGTTCTTATTGATGACTTATAGATTAGCTGCTTACCCAGTATTTGAGCCTATCAATCCTACCAACACTGTGAGATATTTTTCCATTGTTAGAAGCCTTATGTCTCTATGTCAAAATATCTGATGAAGTTAATTGCCTTTCTCTGGGGTTGCTGTTAACTGTTCCCTTCATCTGTTATCATGTAGCTTCATTTTGAAATTTCTAAGGGTCACATGTTTATTTTGGTTAGTATTCCTGATCTTTCTTTTATAATTCCTGCTGATGTACATTTTAGAAGTTTGCATTATGCTTTCAAATGCTGCCTGTCCCATTTTCTTTCATTTTTTTACATTCTATGAGAAATGACACAAAGCTTATATTTTTCCTCAATATCTTTTAAAGTCTTTATATATTTATCTATCTCTCATTTCTGAGTTCTAAGTAATTTATCAATTATCAATAGTATTCTATAATTAAAAACATCACTAATTTTATCTTTAGATGTGTCTAATCTACGGCTTAACCTAACAGTTTTAATTTCAGTGACTGTTAACTTTTATGAGTTCCATATGGTTCCTTTTGAGATTTGTTAATTTTCAAAGCTTTGTTCTTCTGATATTCTTTTACAGTTTTAAACCTAAATATTTCATTAGCTCAAATACAACTATTATATAGTCTATGCATGTGAAAACTTTATAACTGAAATTCTTGGTGAAAACAATCACCTTAATTTTGTAATTTTGAGTGAGTATTTGGTTCATTTTTATGTGTGAATATCCTAAAAACTCTATCTTTATCAGTAGATATCCTAAAAAGTTAAGAAGTTATCTATAAAATTTTTTAAAAATATCAGATGCCCGAAGATTATCACCAATCAAGATACGTTTCCATGTTAGTTATTTTCCCTATACTTGATAAAATAAACTAAGATTTCAATAAAATACTTTTTGAGTACAAACTAATAGAATTAGGGCTAATTTTTCTTCATCTTTTTTTTACTAGCCTGAGGGAAAATCTTTTTTCTATCTATCATTCCCCTGAAATCTAGTTCTTTTCAATTCTTTAGGAGATTTCAGTTCCAAATCCCTACTTTAAGTATGCCTTTAGGGCATGTTTCCTTTCTCTGAGTCAGTAATAAAATCCCAAGCACTCATCAAAAACTACATCCACTAATCCTATGCTCCAGTATCACTGCAACTGATGCCAACTCCAAAGTTTAGTAATCGGATTGTTTTTGATCCCTGAGATGTTCCATTATCTTGCAGTTCAGGCATGCATTAAAAAAAAGATGCATATGGCATCCTAACCAGCATTTTCACATACTGGGCAAAAAAATTCTTATAATTACCTTAAAACTATCTCATATTACCAATTTAAAACTCTTCACTAATTCTTCAATTTTAATTTTGCTTCATGGAGTCTCTGAACAATAGATCTAACAAGTATGTAGGAGAGAGATTATATATGTCACTTTCTCTACATTCCTGAAAGAAACGGAAATTTGTAATGAGGGGGTTGATGTACAAAATACAATGTTAAATCTGTTTTATGAATAAATTATAATTACTAGACATTACAGGACTTGTATGAAGTAATATTTTTACAATAAATCACTAACAAACTAAAAATATATCAAGCGTATCATTCATAAACTTCGTATAGTCTTCTCCCATTTGGGAGACTCTTAAAAACCTCACTAAGAAGAGCCCCTGGGCATATTACCACAGGGATAATCTGGCATCTGCTGGGAGACAAATGAAGAGCACTGGAAAGTCTAACTTCCCCATAAGGCTTTAAAATATTTTCAGCAATTATTATTGAGAATATACAGCTACCACTGTGTAAGGTACCCCAGACATATTATTCTTCATGACTCACCCACTTTAATTCGTTTTTTAATTTGAACACCCATGCAGAAAAAACATTACGTTCGATTTTAAAATACATTTTATTTCTCAATCTAGTAAACTCCTACCCTTTTTTCTCAAGATCTTTATCTACTGTGCAC